CCCCAAAACCCCAAAACCCCAAAACCCCAAAACCCCAAAACCCCAAAACCCCAAAACCCCGAGCTATTCTGGTTTGATTGAAATTTACTACATGTCGCTTTCATCTTCATTTTCTTCGCTTTCATCTAATTGGTCATGAAGGAAACCTACCTTGTTCTTCAATCCTGTTACTTGTTAGTTTCAGCTAAAGATTAGATCGGATACTTACTCTCTTGAGAATTTTGGTTGGCAAGACTGCTAAGAACCATCTGAGGAAATTCTTAATAGAAGTTTTCCATTTAACATCATCTGAGTTGAAACGGAAGACTGGATATCCGTATGATAGAAGAGTCAACCCATAACTGTAAGTGTAGATAGCCACGAAGATTGTGATTGTAAGGTAAGCATCCCCCTTTCCAAGGATAAGGAAACAAACAGAGATGTATGCATGAATAAATGTCTTATAGTTCGTATCAAATGGACCCCATATCTTCATACATATAATAGCAACTGAAGCCAAGATTGGGAACAACAATATGAAGTAGGAGATCAAGATCTTGATTGAATTTGCGAAAGCCATTATTTGAATGGTCAAACTTCTGGAAATATTCTGCTGCAGAAATTTCAAGATAATAAAGAGCAAGAGAAATGATTCGAGAATAAACACCAGATGATACCAATAAGCTTTATCAACATAGTCAGTAAACTCACTACTGCTTACTAAAGATTGGGTTGTCTTTCCACTCATATCAACAATGATTGCAAAGGTTGTGATAGAAAAGGTCACTATCAGCAGATCTACCGTAATTGAGAGCAAAATCTCAAGAGAGAAGAGTTTAGCAAGTGATTTCATCTGAACTATTTTGATCACTAGAAGAACTAGGATATATCAAATAGCTAGTATCAGTCTCATAATATCTGCTGCCAATAGGCCACTTTCTCTATCAGTTTCGATGAGATTTGGTTTGAATGGTCTTATAAGGGCATAAGCTGGATTCACTAATCCAATGATGGAGAACTCATACAAAAACTCACAAGCGACCCAAAGATTAGTAGAAGGACTGAAAATAGTAAAGCTAATAAATAAACTTCTTGTTGACCTTGAATAGTAAGGATCATTCACCGAGAAATCAATTAAACTATTTTGTAATGTTTCCCAATCTTCATAAGTTTTCATTGGATCGAAATCAACTATATACCCAGATCCATCATAATCAGAGAAATCTCCATTGGCTGTTCTGGTTATCTTAGTATCTTTCTCGGTTTGATAAGTATGCCATTGCTCGCTTCCATCTCCAATAGTTGTAGTATTTTTGGTGTCACTGTTATATTCTGATTCATAGCAATCACTTGTACTGTTTGAAGTAGTTTGTTCCTAAACATATTCTTGAGTAAAACTTACAATACAGTTTTCATTCCTCTTTGTTCTTTGTTGTCTTATTCTTATGGGCTCAACAACAATAGAAAGGCCTCTTAATTGAGGAATTTGGACCTTTGTTACCCCATCTTCAGTAACATCTAATAAAGTTAAAAGAGTTAATGTAAAATTCTTACTTCTTGCTAATAGATTTAGACCTAAATAATGTTAAAGAGAGGTATGAGTATTTATAGTAGAACATTGATCACTTACCGACATCATCAAGGAATGATCTGACTCCTACAAGATCTGTTTGCTCTTTGAAATTTTCAACAAAGATTTCTAAAGATATAATCTTAAATTTACGCCTTAGAACTGTGACTGCATAATGACCATCTGATGTACTTGATCTCATAAATAAAAGAATACCTAAAATTAGATTCAAGTTTTACATGTGAATACAAGCATTAGAATATAAACAGTGAGATCAATGCATCTTATATTCATTCTTTCAACATTGTTCACATCCTCCTTCTTTCTTATGGTGTAAAGAAGTTTGAGTCCTGGATATTTAGACAAGAAATTGTTCTCTGTTTCGTTATACTGGATTTTGTCAGCCTCGTCTAAAGTTAAATAGATCTTCTCACCATCCTGCTCATCTTTCTTGGCAGCCTGCTCTTCTTCGTTCACAATGCTTCCATTCTCTGTGACCAGGTAGAGCACACCGTAACTAAATTGGAAGTAGCCTCTTACCTAGCGTCTTGGGTCTGGTTGTTCTCATTCTTGTTTTCAAAGAAGGCACCCACTTCTTCGCTGTCTCGCTTGCTGCCTTCGTCTTCTTCTTGACTACACAGTCAGTAGGGCCTTACCTCCCGGAAGTGAGTTGCTCTCCGTCATCGTCGTACAAATTGAAAGCGTCTTTGGCAGCCCTCTTGGCTTTCTTCCTTCTTTTCTTGACATGACTTTCTTCCTTGATGTTCCAGTACTTAAGAGCAGCCTCTCTCAACTCTTTGAACGTAGTCCTCTTGGCAATTCTGAAAGAGTGACTCAGCACCTCGGTGTTGCCTAGAGTTCGGTCAAGCCTTACCTTCGTCAGGGTCTTCTCTGTCTTCATCATTCTCGTCGTTCCTCCTTTTGCTGTACAGTCGGATGATGACCGAATTGATGCTGGTGACTCCGGGGTTCTCGTCTAAACTGTAGGACGGCAGCCTTACCTTCTTCCTTGTTGTCTTTGTTCATTTCTCTGCGAAGGAAAGATATCTTTTCTCTTAAAATGCCATCCAGCTTATTTTAGAATAGCAATCTTGATGGGCATGTCTTTGAAGTAGTGGTTATTGTTCCGATTATTCTCTTTGTCGATGAACCCAGCTTCAAATTCTTCTTCAGGAGTCACAAAGTTCTTGGTTTGGTTAGCTACATTTGTTCCATGAAGAGTTTTCCTTTCGTTAGCCTCAGGCATTTTGCCGGCCTCGACTTCAGACTCGGTGATGTCCATAGACTCATCATCATCATATGAGAACACAGATCTTTCTCCAGATGAGATGTCAAGACCAATTCCTAAGGATCAGAAGCAGACTTACCGTCTTTGTCTCTGTGAAGTTCTTTGTCAAGTTCCTCCTCTAAAGATGAGAGTGTGCTTACTTTCTCGCTTCATATGGATGCCAATATTGTATCTCCTAGCAAATATTTAAACTGTAAATTTAAATTCTAACAGTTGGTGAAGACTTTACTTGTCGACCTAGGAGTGAGCAAGAAGGCTTACCACGTCGAGGTTTTGGTTGTCTTTTTGGATCTATGCAATCAGCCATTTGTTACCTTCCTGATAAGCTCAGCCTGCTTTTGAATTTGCTCTTCTTTGTTTGAAATTTGTTGCATTATCTACTGTAAGGCATGAACATACTTCGTGCTCTCTCTGAGCATTGTATGGTTTTTCTAGAGTAGTCACTTGTGCTTACTCCCATATCCTTGAGTCGCCATCAGCTGTAGAACAAAGATGAATTGAGCAAGAGGAAGGATACATACTTGACTTCGATGAAAATATTATAACTTTCAATATGGATCTTCGATTTAGGGGTTTTGGGGTTTTGGGGTTTTGGGGTTTTGGGG